GGAAGGGACCTCAGGAGGTCACCTAGTCCAACCGCTGCTCAAAGCAGGACCATCCCCAACTAGATCATCCCAGCCAAAGCTTTGTCTAGCCAGGTTTGGAAAGCCTCCAAGGATGAAGCTTTCACCACCTCTCTGGGTAACCTGTTCCAGTGTTTTACTACTCTCCTAGTGAGAAAATTCTTCCTAATATCTAACATAACCTTCCCTTGCTGCAACTTGAGACCATTGCTCCTTGTTCTGTCATTTGCCACCTCTGAGAAAAGTCTAGATCCATCCTCTTTGGAAACACCTTTCAGAAAGTTGAAGGCTGCTATTAAATTCCCTCTTAGTCTTCTCTTTTCTAGACTAAATAGGCCCAGTTCCCTCAGCCTCTCCTCAGAAGTCACATACCCCAGCCCCCTCACCATTTTTGTTGCTCTCTGCTGCACTGTGTCCAATTTGTCCACATTCTTTCTGTAGTGGGGGCCCAAAACTGAACACAGTACTCCAGATGTGGCCTTACTAGTGCTGAATAGAGGAGAATAAGCACTTCCCTGGACCTGCTGGCAACACATCTACCAGTGCAGCCCAGTATGGCACTAGTCTTCTTTGCAACAAGAGTGCACTCTTGGCCCATATTCAGCTAATTGTCCACTGTAACTACCAGGTCCTTTTCTGCAGAGCTGCTGTCTAACCAGTCAGCCCCCCCAGTCTGTACCAATGCAGGGGATTGTTCCGTTCGAAGTGCAGACTTTGCACTTGTCCTTGTTGAACCTCATGAGATTTGTTTTGGCCCAATCCTCCAACTTGTCTAGGTCACTCTGAATCCTAACCCTACCTCAAGAAGCACATCTGTGATGGGCCAGCAGCAGAGATGATACTCAAGGGCACCCAGCACGGTTTCATTAGGGGCAGGTCCTGTCAGACCAACCTGATTGCCTTCTACGATCAGGTCACAAAAGCACTGGATGCAGGTGTTGGGGTGGATGTAGTCTTTCTGGACTTCAGCAAGGCCTTTGACACTGTCTCCCACCCCAGTCTCATAAAAAAACTAGGTGACTGTGGCATTGATGCCTACATAGTCAGATGGATTGCAAATTGGCTGGAGGGTCGAACTCAGAGGGTAGTGATGGACGGGTCTTTTTCGACCTGGAGGGAAGTGGGCAGTGGAGTCCCCCAGGGCTCGGTCCTTGGGCCCACGCTGTTCAATTTCTTTATTAGTGACTTGGACAATGGGGTAAAAAACAGCCTGTTTAAATTTGCTGATGATACTAAGATTTGGGGTGAGGTGGGCATGCTAGTAGGGAAGGACAGATTACAGCAGGACCTGGACAGGTTGCAGGGGTGGGCTAATGAAAATAGGATGGGTTTCAATACTAACAAGTGCAGGGTGCTGCACTTGGGCAGTGGGAACCAGCAGCACACTTATAAGCTGGGAAACTCCC